ACGCTCGCCCTCAAAACAATGGAATCGATGGGGAGTTGGGGGAATGAATAATCTAATAAAGGTATAAAGATGTTGCGTGATTGCTAGATATCATGACGTGGGAACCTTGATTGGTAGTTTTAATTAATTGACGTCTAATATGAACCAGTGCTCATCGTGGGAAATATTTTCACGCCTTCATTTTGATTTAGTGCTTTTAAACGTGCCAAATGAATGTAGAGTCTCCAAAACAAATTATAAATACAATCCAAAGTAACAATTCATTTTATTAGATTTAGATTTTAGTAATATTCAAAGATAGGTAATTCAAAAGTTTAAATATTTTAAATACTTTTATTAATGGGTACTTTGTGTACCATAGAATGGTATTTTAATACTAAAATTAGATTAAGGAAGATGATATACTAATGGATGGTTTGTACAATAGCCGGAAATCGGATATTTTACATCGCTTAATGATTGAATTCGGAACGCACTCGACGGGTCATGAAATTTTATTTTAATCCGCAAAAATCAAAGGGTGGCTAAATCGGCAGGGCGTTGTTCGTGCAGCATAAATAATGGCAAAAAACATATTGCGTTGTTGCATTGCTCATTATGTGCAATTAGCTACGATTGTGACAGTGGGCATCATGTGAACGGATTTCATTTCTAATGTGATACAACGAAGTTCCTAGTGCGCGTGACTGTATATTGTTCATTAAACGATCTGCATTCGAATTCTTTATACTTATACAAATTTTACATTACATTTACTGTAAATTATTAAATATAAAAGTTAATAGTTGGAAATTTTCACTTTATGATAGGACCAACTTTCCGTTTGTCTTTAGATATTGTAGGGACGATTTAATTCTATAATTAAATAAATATTATAAATGTACCTAATACACTTAACAGTTGCAATGTTCTGTTGAAATTTTATATCTATACCTCATAAGAGCTTGATATAATTTGTAAACGTTAAACAACAGTTTAAAGCATTTGTTTAACCTAATACTTTATTGACCCTCCGTTAACAAAACGCATTAGTAAAATTAGAGCGGTGGGAAAGGGTTACAGCGCACCACCGCGAATACTTTATGTTTATTGTTATTAGAACAATATTTGTACTTTTGAGATCTACGGTTATGGTTATGGTTGAAAGCTAACATATTTTGTATCGAAGTATTTCTTTAAAAATGTATTATAAAATTGGCCATATCAATAAATTGTTTATATAATCAATGAAAGTAATAATCATAAGTTAGTAGATGAGTTTCAATGAAATGTTAAATAAATTATGAGATTTTTCTGTTCTTTGTCCAGATAATATACAAAATACTTTTATTATAAATGAAATTAACGAAGTATTCATGCACTTCACAATCTATCATCCCCTGTGGTCAGTTTAAAACTAGAAACAGATAAATAATATAAAGGTATTGATGTCCATTTAACGAAGAGGTTTATTGTATTATAGAATTGGTTACAGCCACGAGCCTTCTATTGTTAAAAATATTTTCTATCAATGTTTTACTTTCACGAGTATTATAACAAAATTTTATTATATAGTAATTACATTATAATTTTAACGTAATACTCGTTAATATAATTAATTATAGAATGTGTTATAAAATATAAGACAATTTTAGATTGTTATAAAATATTTGATTAAAAAACTCAATCCTTACGCGTGAGGATATAGCTAGGTATAGGTATGTCTGTATGCTTGTTTGTTTGTTATTTAGAATTTTCTGGAAAGAAAAAGTTTGAATTTATTTTTATAGGTATAACAGGTAGCGTAAATAAATATTAAACATTTGAGTTATTTATACATTTATGTAATAAAATTCTAAGTCGAATCTGTACATTATATATTTTTTGGAAAATCAAATTGAAACATTCGTTATTATGGATACAGAAGCCGAATCTATAGTTTTTAGAATTTTTGTCAGTCTGTCTGTCTTTGACCGCAGCACGAGAAAATCACTGGACAGATTTTGATTTTGATATAATAATAGCTGGTTATCCGGGTGCAATATACAGGATACTTTTTACTGCGGGAAAATATCTTACGTCTGAGAAATCTAACTAAACGTTAACACGCAACTAGGGACGAACCCGAGCGGAGCGAGAGTGAGTCACTAGTACTAATATATAGGTATTTTTACTGCCAAAAAGTACTATTTTAGTCCTAAAACTTGAATTGTAGAGTGAACAAATTTTTTGACTCAAACCTGAGTAGTTCTTGACCACTTTTAAAAATAATACGTTATTATTAATATACCTTACTTTGATATTGTAAGACATACATCAAATACATATTATATACATTTTTGATATCTTCTTTTTAAGTTAACTTAACCATTTTTTATGTTCAATAACAAAGGTAGAGTTGAATAAAATTGACGATTGTATTTTTTTTAAATATCACAAGTTATAGTAATTACAATTGACAGTTCATCAATAATAATACAAGATGCTGAGGGGGCATGATTAGCGTCGGTGATAAAGTGCACGGCTGCCACTACGATTAGGTAAGCGCTGGTGTCGCGTACATGGGAATACGTAAAACTCTGGTGCCTTTTTAAAATAATGATTAAGGAATATCTTGTGTAGTAACTATTTAATGATAAAAAAATAAAAATTACATTATACATTTTTTTTGTTAATAAACCTTTTACTTAAATATAGATAAATCTAAATAAAGGTTTTGGCTAAGATAATCATAGGTACCTACTACAATATTCACAAATAAATATTAAGGATTAACACAAACGCTTACATTCATATAAACAGAACTGAAAGTGTGTTAAGTGTCTACTTAACACAGTTATCTTACAGGTGATTGTTAAAGTGCTTTCTTGTCGCATTATCGACACGCGCTATGAATTAGTTACTCCCAGCTTACCAGGCACGACTACCTGTGCGCGTGCGCAGCGCGTTCCGGGCACGTGGGCGCGGTAGACCGTGCTCACACGTGTGTCCTACCTTGCCCATCTAAGTAATTTCACATGTTATCCGCAGTTGTGGGTTATATGGTCTGTGACTTTATGTGTTTATATTTTGAAGTGATCTTATTATAAAAAAAAAATATTCAAGGAAGTTTTATTTGTATTCAGCTCTTTTTAACGTCTGACTATCAAGCCAGCACTATCAGTTATCGAGAATCAGACCATCGTCCACCACGCTGGACAAGTGCGGGTAGGCGGACATTACACGTTTTTCGAAGACTTGCTAGGTTCTCTCAGACATACAGGTCTCCTCACGATGTTTTCTTTCACAGTAAGACAAGTGGTAATCATGTTCGAAATGATTTGCACGTGAAGATATCAGAGGTGGGATTTGAACCCGCTTTATTCGGTTCCTTAAGAGAGGGCGTACCTATACCAATAAGTTTTATTTACAAATCAGTTTGATTCAATAAATATTTTCATAGTCTGTAACGTCCCATATTACTTCCTAGCACGAGCATCCCTACAATGCAAGGAAGACTAGTCTACAGTCCTTCACATAGGCTAAAACTAGGTGTGCGGACTTAACGCTTATTTTAAAAACTAGCTAAGTTCCCTCAGATATGCAGATTGTAGATATGAAAATTTTACATGTAAGAGACCCACCCGCCTTGAGCCCGATTTAATTTTTGAAAAGATTGAACAATCAAAGGTCTACCCATTGCTATTTAAGGCTATACGTTCTCATATCACTTCTTTAAAAGGTTTTAAGTAACAAATAAACATTTCCTACTATTTAAGGTACTTTATATTTATTTATCCACCCACTTGACATTTATGCGAATTTCAAAACGTCACTCAGGTTTGACTCCTCTACAAAGGAGTAGAAAGACAAAACGGTGTCGGATGTTCTCTGGGCACAATGTTGTACGTCAAACCTATGCTTTTACGTAAATATGGACCGCCTTTTATTATCTGTGAAGTTCGATTGTGGTTTGAACTCACCCCTCTAACCATTCACGAAGGATGATTGATCTACGGCAGATTGACAGATTTTTTTATGAAACCACCCGAGGGTCGGTACCAGCGAGCGAATATTAAAGGCAATTGTTGTTTAATTTTTACATTTGAAGGGCGATGCATTTCGAGTGTTGTAATAATGTTTTGATAATAGCAGTATCCGTTCAGCTCATATTTCTTATTCACAGTGCGTGGGATTCAACCGCGACCCACCGCCCGGTGATTTCATTACGAGGGCTCTGTTTGAATTTAAACTATAATGAAGTCCGTTAGCTTACACCTTGCTTACTTTGTTTAACCTCATCTGATCAATATTCTTGTCATTTACCAACACAAAGAATTACGTTAATGTTTGTAACCAACATGGACCAGGTAAATAGACTGTGACTTGATTGCGAGTTAAATGTATTAAATTTTAGGATTAGTGATCTTATAAGTTGCTCACTTCATGTTAGAAGTTTTTAATTCGTACATATATTTATTTTTTAAATATTGCATTCCATTGACAGCTTTTCAGCTGGTATTGACCCTTGACGCGCGCTTACTGGGCTTAGCTTTTTTTCTTTTTATCCGCATCTGGACAAAAGCTGTAGCCATTCGATAGTTTAACACAATGTACCCACTGATCCTCATTGATCGCCAATTACTGGACATTAAGTACTTTAAACGCTTTTCATATCCGCTATTTGTAGCAACAAATCAAATATAAAAAAATACAATAGTCCGTTGAAGATTTCTATGCAATATTGTTAGGGAGTTTTTATTCGCTTATAAGCTTGTTTTTTTCCAACGTGATAACAATAGCTTGTGGGAGCTTAGCTTTTTCTAGGGTAGTATTTGGTTAAATTTGACATTAATACAAGGTCAAAAGGCGTTAGCATTTGAATTAAAAAATAGCGTTTCGTCAAAACCGTAAGAGATTTGATCGTGATTTTGCAATTCTACATATTTTTGTTTTATATCTTTTTTTTAAATATATTATAAGAAGTTATCGTGTTCATTCTTGATTCCTTTTTGAAAGAACTACTTTTTAATAAATTCTCAAAGGTAGCAGTGTACAGCTAGTATAGTAGTGTAGTACGCGTGCCTGAGCGCAACAAGGTGCGCTTCGGGTGCGCACGCGTCGCTGGCTCCATTGTCGCGTCGGTCACGCTCATTGCGCGCACCCTGAACAGTGAACACACAAGAACGCATTATTACATTTTTATTGCGCATCTTCAAAGCTTTGTTACTTTTGTTCGACCTTTTTTATTTGCTTTTTAGCGATAGACACGTCGAACCACGATGTATGTTTTCACGCTGTAATACGCCTATGATTCTTCTATAGGTTATTTAATATTGTATTAGAATACTTTCGGTTTTACTTCGTTCCGTGGAAAGAATAAAAAAATCGGAATATCCATTTTCAATGGAATTGTAATTGTAACATCTATAATGTAGGTATATGTGGCACACTTTGCTCAGTAATTTTTATTCTCAAAATATGTATGTATTTCTAGGTACATAATAAGTATATATATTGAAACTGCCTCGGTGGTGTAGTGGCTAGCATGTACGGCTGCACACCCGGAGGTCCTGGGTTCGAGTCCCGGGTCGGGCCAAGTTTAGTTATTGAGTCTTTCTGTGTAGAAAGCCTCAGTAGCAGCCCGGAGTTGGGAAGTTGGCGGTGTTTCACCCCCGTGCCTCGGAGAGCACGTAAAGCCGTCGGTCCTGCGCCTTACCTCTCACTGGTCGTGTCGAGCAGTCGTCCCACCGGAGTATGAGAGTGTCAGGAATAGAGAGTGAACTTGTGTCTGCGCGTACACTTGTGCACTATAATATCTCCTGCGCAGTTGGCTAGTCTCAATGAGATTGGCCGCCGTGGCCGGAATCGGTCAGGAGAACATCATCATATATTGAACCTTATTTACCTACACCATAAAATAAAATTCTCTCCAGTGGTTTTTCTGTGATGCGGTAAAATACAGACAGACAGACAAAAATTCTAAAAACTGTAGGTTCGACCTCTGTATCGATAATAATGTTTATTTCTATAAGATTTTCCTAAAAATATCTAATGTACAGATTCGGTTTAGTTACAATTTTATTATATGTATAGATAAAAATTGAAAGTATACCTATACTATTTTTGCGATCGAATTTATTTGTATTTTAAAATAAAACAATAATTTCATTCTGATACACTTTACTGCTGGCGGCCAATCTTATATCTGAAGTTTACAGTGTAAGTCCAGTGGGATGATAATTCGATATGACCGGTGAGAGATTAGGCGCTAGATCGGCGACTAACTTATCTAACACACTATTTCCGGGCTAAAAAGTTTTTGACAAAACTCTAACCACCAACTCTACCCGAGTATGGTCAATACTCGGCCTGACTCTAACTTGAAGACAGGAGCTCTGGATCTATAGCCTTCAATACTGTAACAGGAATATCAAGTGTTTCATTTTATATATCTGTCACTTTATAATTACTTTCATTATTACCCAAATTTTTTGATTTAATTAATTTTAAATATATTTTTTTTTGACCAGAAATCTATAAGTGTAAGAAACTAAATGTACCTACCTATATGTTGTTATGGAGATTTAGGCATTCGAATTTTGAATAATTAATTGTGTTTGGCAGCTTTTTCCTTCACTATTTAATATAATTAACAAAAAAATAATATATACTATGAAAATAATCGTCGCATACTCGTCTATTTAGAAAAAATGGAGGTCACGTGAAACAAGTATCAAAACTTATCGAAATTTTTGAAGAATTCTTGTTTTATTAGAATATTAGGATACGAGATTACTATCTCAAAAGTTGTTTAAGATATATTTTTAAGATAATTTTATATATTAATTAATTGACTCAGGAAACACCTTATACTACATATATTATTTTACATAAGAGAGGAAAACGTAAAGTTTATGTATCCAGAACGAAAGCTCACGTACACAAAGTATAGTTGTGAAAATAAATGCATCAATTTATTGTTCTTCAATTTTAATCATAATAAGGAACATATCTATAAAAATGTCAGAAGGAGTTGATCAACTTAAGGCCGGAAGGTAGGCTCTCATATTCATATGAACAATCATGTGAACCCATGCCATTAATTCGACAACAAGTCATAAGATGTCATGATTCATGTGCTCTTGAGACAGTGCTCGGCTTGAGCATGGTCAGTGCTGAATCAGTTATGATTCGGAAGACGCGCCGTCTGGCGTGCATGCGGGTTCCTCACTAGGTCATATCTCCTTCGTAGATGATAGAAACTAATATGTGTATAGTGAAAGGTCGGGAATATTTAATGAAGAGCTTTTCTCGGCTATTGCTCTAGCTTAAAATACTTATTTATTTGATTATTAAACAAAACTACGATATTTGATTAAGCTACAGAAAAGCACGTATCATATTAGTATTATTAGCTGCGCAGTTATAAATGCCTTGTATAAAAGTAATTTCAAACCATAACAATTATTTAGAAAAGAGAACACACGACCGCAACCAAATATTGTGATAATCTGCCTCTTCACATTGTCACTCGATGACTTGATAAAAAATCATAAAATGATCCACCAGTCATCCCTCGGGACTACTCTACTGAAAATACTCTATTCCCATAATCTATTCCAATTAACTGACAGCGGCATATTGTGATATTAACACAATACATTTATTACCCCCTCGATTTACTTACACCAGGGGAATATTAAAGGATTTTAACTTTTATTGTAACTTGCTTAGTTACAAAGTAGTGTGCCAGTGAATGTCTGGAGTATGTACTGATTTGGTTAAAGAGGTCTTCTTGTAAGGGCGTTGCTTAATGTGTTTATCCTTACATGACTTATAGCAATATTATCTGTCTGTTACTTTAATAGGTACCTACATCCGTTATCGTGATTTCTTGCAAAGCTGTTTTTTTTATGTTTTAGCAGGAATAGATAATATTACAGTTATAATTTGATTATTATTATATTCTACCAAAATTATATTTTTTTTTATCTGTTCTTTGACGCTCATTAAAAAAAAAACATTTTATTTAGTAGAACCTTACTTTTCTCTTCTCTAATCTTAGGTAACCCCTGAGTTATGAATTCCTATAATAATTTTCGTTAATAGCACCAGTATTTAATAGTAAAACTAGTTGAGCATAAGTAGAAACACACTAATCAACTTTATAATAACAATTTTATGACATTTTTATCGTTTGTCACTATCGGATAACCGTGACCAGCTAATCCCCGTAGATATCAACCCTCTGTCAGAGGGTCCGATACTTATGGCAGCTATTAACGATGATGCTATCGGCATTGTCTTTGCCCTTTCCCACAATCACTTGAATTAAGGATGGTATTAACAAAGTTACGAGTAAAAGATGGGGTGCGGCTGACCTTACTCATCTAAAATCAGTCTTCGTTAAACCACGATAAACTGTGATAGTCTTTATAATGTACAATACACCTATGTAGCTACTAGCTACATACTATATTGAGAAGCTGGCAGATAAGTTAATTTACTGTTTTTAACGTTTTTGCTTTAAGATATAGTTTTTAGACTGGGTGGGTACCTACTTAAAATATAACGATGTTTCATGTCAGAACGTTGAATTAGAGTTATTCTTAGAATTTTGAATTTGGAATTCAAATGGTAATGAAAAAAAATCATACCTTTACTACATATTTTTAATTACAACACTAAATTGTATTGACATTTATTTTCCAAATGCTTTTTACAAAACTGCCGCTCCTCAGCTATCAATGTGGAAAAATAGAAATGATGTTCATTTGATATTATTTTTAGTCAAAAAATAATTATTTTAATTTTTAAATTATGGAATATGTATTTACAAAATAAAATAAGTATAAGTTACTCTTGCTATGTAATTTCTTAAAATGTATGTTTCCCACACAAACCGCAATAAATTGCTGATAACATCAATAGTAATTGCGATCGATAATTTTAACCTTGTATCCATTTATCGATATTAGGTACCGTAATGAGTGACGTTCTCAGGAGTCAGCGGGGTGTTCGGGGGAGACGATATCGCCGTGTGAGATCTCTCTATTTTATAAATCGATCGAAAATTGTAATGTAACTTGCTGAATTTACCTTAAGATTTTATATTCTATTCTCAGTAATACTAAATACTAATTTTAATATATTATACTACTAAATAATTAGTGATTTTACTAGAACTCACGCTGTGTATTCTACTATTAGTAAAAAAAATGGAAAAAATATTTTAACTAGAATAATTTTCTAAGTATAATATTATGATATAATAACTTAGCTATAATATAATCATAACAGCATAATAATAAAGTATAATAATTCATAAAGAACAGAACTTATTTTATTTTGTAGCTTTCATAGATTAAAAATCAGGTCGCTAAATACGCGTTGCAGCGGCCTTACAGCGTGCCTGTTGTAAGAGCCGACGGCGCGCAGGTGGCCGACATACGATACCCCATTGATCGGGACTTCGGGACGATGCTCGTTCGTAGCCTCTTTCATTTGTCTCCTCTCAAAAGAATTCCTCGCAGACAACGTTCACTGCGCTACTAATTACGCACGCCCAAAGATTATAATATCAATGAATAAACTAGTAAATTATGGAATAATGAAAAATGTCTATACGAGTATAATAATATTTCGTACGTAGCTTATACAGTAAATATTAAAAACGAATATTTTCATTGTTTAATAAGCTATGGTTTTTTTTTCTAAAAACATTTTATTTAAATTAAAAAAAAAATAAGTCAAATAGGTACATAATACATTATATCGCCTATCTAGGTTAAAATATATAATTGACTACCATTGCCCGCGGCTCCGCCCGCGTTGAGACGACCAAAAACTAAATTCTTAGGTTTTACATATTAGTATACTCTTACATTGCAGTTTTTGTATTTTTTCTCAGAAATGAGATATTTTCCGGCAGTAAAAAGTATCCTATGTATTGACCCGAATAACCAGCTATCACCATACCGAATTTCATCAAAATCCTTCTAGTACTTTTTCTGTGATGCGGTAACAAACAGACAGACAGACAAAAATTCTAAAAACTATAGATTCGGCCTCTGTATCGATGATAATGTTTATTTCAATAAGATTTTCCAAATATTATTTAATGCACAGATTCGGCTCAGTTACAATTTTATAATATGTATAGGTGACTTAATTTTTAATACCTTCATGTATTAATTAAAAAGCAATAAAACAAACATAACTTGGTGAGGTATGTAAAATAATAAAAAAAAAAAGTTTTTAAAATTTAGGTTCTGATCTTTTATTCTTTGCGGGCACTTCTGACTCATCTTGCGTGCACGCACAAAATGCGCGAGCGATTCAAATGAAATGAAAAGCGTTTTGTGGAGCCTATTCCTTCAATATTGAGAGCGCATGTGCGCTCGTACAAAAGCTTCGCAATATTTTGAACCAATTTGCCGTTGTTTAATAGTGCTTTTATATTTTGCAATATACGGTAAATCATGTTTTGAGGTTATCAGATAACAGGATAAGATATAAACAGGAATATCGTGTGTTATTTAACTGCTTAGAAAAAGTAATTCTGTGTATGTTGATTTTTGTTTTTTTACATATTTATTCGTTTCATATAATATACCTACTAGCGATATGTATAGGTAGAAAATAAATAGTTCGGAAATTTTTGATTTTCCAGCTGTTTTTACGGGTTTTCCCAATTTTTTGTATACTTAAACTACACCTGACACACCCCCAATAAAACAAAAAAAGAATTATTCAAATCTGTTTAGCCGTTTTTGAGTTTTAGCGAGACTAACGAACAGCAATTGATTTTTATATAGATCATACATATATAGACAGATTATTAATATTTAGGAACTAGATTCGACTGTATACGTATTCTACCTATGATACTAAAATTACACATCAGTGCCATATTTTATTATATATATATTTTTTAAATATATAATATAAAACACACCGGTTACGGCACGTGTCTTCGCCCGTATATTTGATCGGAGTAACGTCCGTGCCACGGGTAATTACTTTGTCTTTGACCAAACGCTATATTTCCATGTTGTCATTAGCAATTGGATATTAATTCCTAGATTATGAGTGGAAGGAGCATAGGGGCTAGCAATTTTCATGGCACAGCTGCTACATATATCTGTGCAAAAAATTTTCTGTAAGGAAAGCCACCTGCTTACGCGTCTGATTCATATTATCTCTTATCGAGGCATCGCTTGCGACGGCATGGTGCCTTATGTGGTTTTAAAGATCAATTAAATGGCCAGGAGTCCTATGATTGACTTTTGTTTTCACATTTGATTTTTTCAAATTCAATTATCTGAATTATTTTATTTTATACCTTTCTCCTGAACTGAAAAGAATATAAAGCTCTTAATTAAATAGTATAGCTCTTTGATTTAGTCGTCGCGTATAGTTATAATACTTATTTACTTGCCAAAATATAGATATATTTGAATATTTACCAAAATTATTTCTTGACTTATAAGAAAATCATAGTAGTATTTGTTAATCTCGTTTTTTCGAGATTAGCTTAATTTTCAATCTAGACAACATTAGCAAAGTTTTAACTACGGTTGCATCTATTCCTAACTGAATCATTTAACTAGATGTTAAAATGACTATTTTTCAGAATGGCATAACATGTAAAACATTGAAAAACCTATTATATACTTTATATTCTTAAACAAAAATATTAGTTTCCTTCGTAAAGTCATGTAAAGGATGAATTATTCCTTATAAATCAAATTTATATTTTTGTTTTTTTTTGAGCAAGAATTAACAGAGATACGAAAACTTGCGTTTTGTTTACTTTTAATTCTGTTATAATAAAGTGCCGACGTGGAAGCGAAGTGTTGAAGCATAAGACAAGCTTTATTGAAATTAATACTTATTTAAGTGTTATCGAATAATCATAACACGTCATTCCCATATACTCGTATATGTATTATTTTTAATATAGACTCATCTTGTTAAAGCGCATTAATTAATTTGTATAACAAAGTCAGTTGTAAGTCATATAGAAAAAATAATAGGAAAAAAAGTTAAACATTCAAAATGCCATAAATACCTGATTCGTTATAAATAAGCTAAGTTCTTTTATAAAAGCACAATTGCACTGTAAACAAACACGTTTTTACCATGCTAAATCTATAGTTATTGACTATGTAACATTAATTTAATAAAATTGTAATAACTGGTTGATCTTGTTTAACAAACTCATTGAGATAGGGTTGGTACAATGCTTAAAAAGGTTAATACCTTATATATATACAGTTTATATTATATATAAAAAATATTATAAATGTAATCCTAAGTTATCAGAGACATACATATTAATACATGTATGAGGAGAACATATTATATTAAAAAACTATTCAACGGAATAATTATTTATATATGCATGTAAGTAGGTATCGGTGGCGAAGGGTCCATACAAGACGTCTTACCTTTAAATTATTTTACTATTATTAATAAATATATTATTATAAATAAAATTATTATACTATAATTGTACATACATTTAATTTTTAAAATGTATAAATTTTCTTTTGGATATATATATGTATAATAGCTTTATTTCTTTCTGCATTAATGCGTATATAAAAATAGTATATTTTTGGAACGGCTTACCTCTGTAAAAAATTCCACCCTTCGCCACTGGTACCTGGTGGTATTACCAAAAACAATAGAGAATCACTGAAAGATTACGACAAGAGGAAGTAAATAGATGGAAGAATTCTTGCTTATTAAAATTGGCTACTTAATAGGCAATTGTATATAACTTACTAGCTTGATACTTATAATACAAAAACAATATCGGTCATACTTAGGTATTTTATTAATTTACAAATTCTCGTAGAATTGATATTTTTTATTTAAAGTATCATATTTTTTTCTAAAGAGTCATTATTAAACGTTTAGTGTAAGACAAAATATATGTGATAGTATCATATATCGAAACAGAAGTCCGTTAGAAGGTAAATTTTAACAAGAAATACGATATAGATCGCATATCTGTTACTTGTGTAAATAATTGAGTTTCGCAATCTTTCTTCATCGCATAAATATTATTCCCATAAAAATATAAGTTATTCCGAAGTAGATTTGTCAAAGTCCTGTAACCCTGTCCATCCACGTGGGTCGCACCTGTTAGATAAATATACCTAGGCAATCATCCTAGCATCTGCCGACTAGATTATTACGCAATAACTCTATGGTAATAGATTGTCCCCGTATCCAGATGTGCTCAGGACGAACATTGAACCTGTGATGATTTTATAGCACTAACGATTTTTTTTTCCATAAAATTATAATTAATTTGAATAAATTAAAATAAATATTATGCAAACTAAATTTAGCTCGAATGAACTAAACTAAAATTAAGTCGTTGTTAAAAGTGTGTCATTGGACTAAAGTGATACTTACTATTTATTATTTTAAATTAACATGATATGTAAGAATCGTTTGTAAATAAATGTTTCATTAAATCATAACACTATCAATGCTTTTTTTTTCAAATCTATACATATAATAAAATTGTAACTAAGCCGAATCTGTACATTAAATATTTTTTGGAAAATCTTACGGAAATAGACATTATTATTGATACAGATATCGAATCTATAGTTTTTAGAATTTTTGTCTGCCTGTCGGTTATCGCATCACAGAAAAATTACTCTCTTCAGTTTTGATGAAATTTGGTATGATAATAGCTGATTATCCGGGTCAACATATGTGATACTTTTTACTGCGAGATAATATCTCATCTCTGAGAAATCTATACTAACGTTAAAACGTAAGTAGGGACGAACCCGAGCGGAGCGAGGCTGAGTCGTTAGTATTTACATAAATATGTTGATAGCCCTTTTTATAATATTGCGTGAGTTTCAATTTACATAAGCAAAGTGCTTTTAGAATGTCTATTAATTATTACGTGATATATAATATTATAAATAGGTAAAGTTTTTGAGTTTGTAAGTTTCAGAGCTTGTGACATTATATCTATATATGGATCTATTGAACCGACTTAAATGAAATTTCGTAAAAAGATAGTTTAAGACCCTGACAAGGATACTTTTTATCTCGGAAACCATCCCTTAAGAGGGTGAAAATGGGTATGAAAGTTTGTGTGGGAAATCAAGCCAGGGTCGAACTCGAGCGAAGCAAAGGTGAGTCGCTAGTGTGTTATATTTGTAATTCCATTAATATTATTTACGTACCTTTATAGTTATAAAGTTACTATACAAAACTTGACTTATTTTGCTCATAACAATACTAAGATAGGCAAAACTAGATGACTATTTAATACCTTCTATGTAAGCAGAAGCAGCCGCTCGTTTTTTCTTACTGTGGATCTATAAAAATCAAATATAGCATAGCTTTAAAATCTGCTTATATAACTAGTTCGTACTTTGTCTATGCATAAATGGAGGGACAGGTGTGTTGTTTAAGTTAGGATTCTTAAAGAGAATTATATAGTAGATTTTCCTGTATAAGTG